ACCTTCACTTTCTGCTGTAAGGAGCCATCTTCAGCAGGAAAAGCAGTGATGGAGACAGGAGCAGTCATGCCCATTCCAGCGCCTGAAAGAGAGGCGGAGAAATTACTCCAGAAGCCCAGGTTCTTGGGAACTCAAAGCATTAACAGAGATCAGAAAAGCTAATTTTGGTTTAGAAGGCTCCTCATTGTGATCTCTTTGCACAATCCAGCTGAGAGAGTGGGGTCCTTCGAGGTACGCAGAAGAGCTTTTATGCTTTTCCTTGCACCAAATCTCTCTTTCTTTTGCTTTCTATATGGGGATCTTGGGAGCTAAGGGTCCCCAGTAACCTCTGGATGGCTCTTCATTAATGGTCCTGTTTTTATGGCTCTCACTATATAGCTCACATCACCAAAATGATCTTTTCTGACAAATCACCTCTAATACAACCTACAGTTTTCTGATGCAGTGGCATATTTGTAACTGAAATATTATATATATGAGTATTTACAACATTATCATCTGTACTTAGTGGTTAAGCTACAGTCAATACTGGGTGACAGAAACTTTCTCCTAAACCCTTCCAAATGCTTCCAGAGATCCAACAAGTTCCAATGCCCCAAAACTCAGAGACAGTCTGGCTTTCAGGAGCACTGTCCATGTTCTCCTCTAGTCTGTACTGAGGAAACAGCACACCTCTTGTCTGTTTCTAAGATGTACATGGCACTCGAGAACATTTTTCTTCCCTTTTTTTCTTTCAACAGTAGTGAACCTACAACCTTCAGGATTAGGCACTGAAAAGGCCAAGACCAAGACATCCTTCTCATTTATTTATTTTACACTCTGATACCATACCTTTCTCCAAACCATGTTATGGAAGGTACCTTTTCCTCTACAGCAACAGTGATCATCACCTTTCTGAAACTGTAGGGCTGTAAACGCCCGTTCCTTTCCCACTCAGCTTCTATTCCCATACAGACTATATAACTCCTTCTACCACATGCTTGAGAAAGGTATGAACGTCAGAGTATATGCTTTAGATCTCTGTGCTCTTATCATCCTGTTCCGGATGATTACCGATGCACATACTTTAGTAAGCTGAGAATTAGAGGCAATCACCTGGAAGTGCCATTATAAAACACTGCAAAGCACTATTAAAAAGCAAGCTCACTGTTCATTACCCTTTCATGAATAAAAATCACCAGAGTATACAATAAAAACTCAAGGTCATAAAAGTCATCTAGTTGCCTACAAGGACAGGTTTTCTAGGTGTGATCACAGAACCAAAGCACTCCAATTACCCTGGATTTCATTAGCTACCTTTATACAGCTTGCAGGCTGTGATGAGCACGTGTGTGCCTGGCCTTGAAAACCTCACTGCACTCTACAACTTCCTGAAGGGAGGTTGTGATGAGGAGGGGTTTGGCCTCTTCTCCCAGGCAACAAACAGGACCAGAGAAAATGGCCACAAGTTGTGCCAGAGGAAGTTTAGATTAGACATAAGGAAAAACTTTTTATCTCAGAGAGTGTTCAGGCACTGGAATGGCTGCCCAGGGAGGTGGTGGAGTCACCGTTCCTGGCAGTGTTCAAGAGGCGTCCGGATGAGGAGCCGTGAGATACGGTTTAGTGCTTGTGGTAGCAGTGGGAATGGGAAGGTTGAACTAGATGATCTTGTAGGTCCTTTCCAACCTTGTGATTCTATGATCACCCCAGCGGCAAAGTAATGCAGACCTACTTAAAAAAACAATCTTTGCAATGTTATCCTCAGAGAGGAAAGAGAGAGGAGTGGACTCACAGCACGACCTGGCTGGACACCTTATCCTGTAGTTAAGTTGATTGCTCTCACTGAGGGACCATGCTCACCCTAGACCTCTAGTGATGGGGCCACATGGGCTGCCATAACACCAGCTCTATCAATGGGGCTCCCATTGAGCAGCCACTACAGCTGCCCAGCGAGCATCTCACCTTTGTCATTGCTTCCTCCAACATACTTGAGGAGCTTCAGCGCTGCTTCCTTCGAGGCTTCATCGAAGGGCTTCCCTGTCACCTCCACCACAGCAAACTGCCCACCTTCACACTCCCTCTCCTCGTAGCTGAGCTGCTCCTGAGAGAATTAGGATGTTTAGTCTGGAGGAGGCGCAGGTGAAACGTTATTGCTCCCGCTAATGACCTGAAAGGAGGTTGTGGTGAGGTGGGGGTCGGCCTCTTCTTCCAGGTAGCAGTGATAGGATGAGAGGTGATGGCCTCAAGTTACGCCAGGGGAATTTCAGGTTGGATATTAGGAAAAAGTTCAGAAAGAGTGTTTCTGCAGTGGCACAGGCTGCCCAGGGAGGTGCTGGAGTCACCATCCCTGGAGGTGTTCCAGAACCGTGTGGCACTGAAGACAAGGTCAGTGGGCATGGTGGGGGTGGCCTGGTGGTTGTACTCCGTGATCCTAGTGATCTTTTCCAACCTTAGTGATTCTGAGCTTATGTGACGGCGAAGGACGAGAAGGAGAAAAAGAAGAAGCTGCTCCCACCCTTCCGAGCCCGCGGGCAGGCACTGCCCCACACCCCGTCCCGGGCCGCTCAGCCTCCGCCGAACACCGAACACCACCCAGCTGCGCATCCGGCAGCCCCGAGCTGTGCCCCAGCGGCTGCCCGCCCCGCCGCCTACCTTCTCCCCCTTGCTCAGCACTCGGTAGGGCCACGTTTCCACCGTGCTCAGCAGCGAGTTCTTGATCATGCCCAACATGTTGCCGTCTGGCCCGGCCCGGCACGTCACTCCCCGAGAGAAGTGGGAGGGTCTGCGGGCGCTCCACCACCCGCGGCGCGCGGCACGACCGCTAGGATGCGCCCGCGGGCCACGGCAGTGACCCACAGGGTGGAGGGGTGGGGGAGGCCGGGCGGTGTGTATCGCCGTGTGGGGACGGGTGTTCGTCTGGGGGAAAGGAGGAAGCTGGGGAAGGGAAATATAGGAAAATGGACTCGCTGACAGAAGTGTGTAATGCTTAGCGTGTATCCTTAAAGAGCGGAAAATAAAACGGTAAATGTGACATTAAAGCATTTCCCTCTAGAGACCTGTGAGCAGATGAAGCAGTTTGAGCGGCTGGACGTGACCATCTGATCCAGCTTGATGTGGGCTGTCACACAGTGAGTGACAGGAGCTGCTATCAGTAGCGACAAGGCCACAGATCTGGTCACTTATTTACCATTTGTATAATTTCATTCCCCGTTATGCAAGAAGTCCAAAATCTGTAACCCATGATGCATGTTGCAACTCACTTCTGGCTGTTTGTTTCTGGGGGAAAAAAAGTGAATTTCTCTCTTTAGATGGGGAGTTTTCACAAAAATACCAGTGTGCACCTATCTGTGTAGGAATAGGTGGGCTGGGTCAGACCACATGTGTACCTTGCCCAGTCCTTTGCCCTGTGTCAGAATTTATAGGTGAACATGTATGTAGAAAGTAAAAGCATGCAGTGATTGGGTCTGGCCTTGCAGCTCCAACCATCCACGACTGAGACTTCCCTGGGCCAGAAATCCTGTCTTGCTTTCACATAGTCCCGGATGGATTTTATATAACTTCATACAACTTCTCATTGCCTGATGAGATGCTCATGTCTGAAATACAAATAGATAATGAAAGCTGACATTTGTGTTGTGTTCTTCCTCCACATAGGCCAAGGTGGGTAGTATTCAGCCTTGAGGAAAGCGCACAAAGCAGCCCCTGGAGGGAAATGTACAGCTGATGCTGCAGTGCTGCCTCGTGGCTCCGAATGCAGTACAATGAGGAAGAGGTCGATGGGGTCTTTCTCTCCTCTTATTCCCTGTTATTTGGGTAAATATATTCTGAAATCAGAGTAGTCTGCATTTCCTTAGAAATTAACATGAAAGCTTTGCCTGCAGAAATTATGATGAAGGCTTTGACTGCAGTCATCATGAAATGGCCGAGTTCAGGATCCATAGAGTATCCTTGATGTATAGCAAGCTCATTGCACTGGACTTTAGGAGACCAGACTTTGGCCTCTTTGGAGATCTATCTGCTTGCTAGAGGACTGTGGGACATAGCCCTGAAGTGAAGAGGGGCCCAAGGAAACTGGTTGATATTCAGGAATCACCTCTTCCAAGTTCAGAAGCAATGCGCCTCAACAAAGAGGAAATCAGACAAAAACACCAGGAGGCCTGCATAGATGAACAAAATGCTCCTGGCCAAACTCAAACACAGAAAGGAGACCTGCAGGCAGTGGAAGCAACAACAGGTAGCCTGTGAGGAATGCAGAGAAATTATCCAAGCAATGAGGGATCAGATTAGGAAAGCTAAAACCGTCATAGAATTAGATATTAGCAGGGACATCTAAGACAAAAAGAAAAGCTTCTGTAGGTATGTTAGTGACAAAAGGAAGATTAGGGAAAATGTGGTCACTTTCTGGAAGGAAACAGGAGACCTTGTTACTTTGGGCAGGGAGAAGGCTGAGTTACTCAGTAACTTTTTTCCTCAGTCTTCATCAACAAAAGTTCTAGCCGTGCTGCCGAAGTCACAGAGGCAAAGGTGTGGTCTGGGAGAATGAAGAGCCACCACTACTTGAGAAGATCAGGTTCAAGATAATCTAAGGAAGCTGCAATTGAACATCTGATGAGATACATCCGTGGCTCCTGAGGGAAATGGAAGTTGATGTTGCTAAGCCACTATCCATCATATTCGGGAAGCTGTGGGAAAATTAAGTTTACAACAACTGGAGAATTTATACATGGGAAATATTTACCAGACTGTTTCATGCATCTCATACGTCTCCCCCACTCCTTACTCAACTCCTTGATCCCAGCCACAACCTTCCTGTGTTACTTCTAGTCCATCTTGAAGGATGTCATATAAAACTAGATGCTCCACTTTCCCTCTTGAAGGTATTGTAGTGTCACTGAGCTACTTTCCATATGCTCGGGTACTGGGAGAACTTAAAAACCTAGTCTGCATACTAACTGTTTATAGCAAATGTGTCTGCAAAACAACAGTCTGACCAGATTACCCCACAACCATTTAGACATAATCAATTCCTTATTTTTATTCTCATAAAGTGCTTAAAAAATAGTTTATTTTTCTCTCTGGCCTTTATACCTATGTTTAAACAGATTGCAGGCATGCCATTAGCTACAGCGCTGGATGGAAATCTCTGTATTTTGCCTTTAGAGATCTTTAGAGATCTGAAAAGTAAGCCCACTCTTTCCTTTGTTCAGTTCATAACTTGATTTCTGCACCGTTTTTTTGTTTTGTTTTGTTTTGTTTTTTGTTACCAGTTTTACTACCAGGAAAGCAAAGATGAGCTGAAAGCAAAGTATACTATATACACCTGAGCTTTGGGAGTATGTAGTTCTTCTTTTTCTACAGATCTTAATTGTGCTGAAGGATATGGAAGTTGATGTTTGCATGTGGGGAAGATACTCTGTGAATAAGACATCAGCTGAGTTACCAGCCAGACATCAACTGAATTACCAGTGATTTCTGGGACTAAGCTGTTTCCAAAGCTATTTTGGAAAATCTTTGTTGACATCTACTTATACCAGTAGGTACCAAAATTGTTTTGGAGAAACATCACCTGTTTTCAAAGGGTCTTGGCAGAAGGCACTGTGATGCCGTTCACAGTGTTGGAAGTTATGGGCATATCTATTGCATGATGTTTTTGGTGCCTACCTGCAGGTAGCCAAAAGAAAGCTAATTGAAGAAGATAGGTGTTCAGCTTTGGTCCCAAGAATCTGACATAGCATCACTCCTGAAACAATACGCATAGTTCAAGGTTCTCCAACTCTGCCCACTCTCTGAACATGTGAATGGGGCATTCTTTGCATTGGTGGAGAATAGGTTAAGGCTATATTTTAAAACATGACTTTCTCTCCCCCTCCTTACCCAGCTGGAAGTGCAAAGCACTAATCTATCTTCCTGCATTCATCCGGCATTCAGCACTTTTGAAGATTGAATTCCCCAGCTGTTTCTGACAGAGTACTGTGAAAATAGGACAGAGAAATTCAGCTGAACTTTTTAAAAAAGAGCTTACCCTGGTAAGCAGAAGGAACGACAGCATAACCTAAAGGTATTCACACTGAAGTAGACCAAGTTTCTCAACTTATTTTGCATAGGGCACAAAACAACCATCGCTGAAGAACAGGTCCAGATTTGACTTACTGACCTAGGCTTGAAATAGAACAACAACATGCAGAAGTTCTGGTCTCCTCGGTAAAGTCATCTTGTATGTGCTTTAGTTTATTCTGTTTAACAGTGTCCCAATGAGAAAGGCTTAAGCAGGTGCAAAAAACAAAGGCTTTCCTTTTTTTGCTGGTAGAGAGTTAATTCCTCTGAAGTCTCCTGCGCGCAGGTAACCTTCTCCTATGCATTGGGAGTCTCCGCAGCTGAGTATTTCCACGCCTCTGGCTCTGCAGAGCGTTAATTCGGAAGGGAAGGACAGCTTTGTTGATGACATTGAGCCTTTCATTCAATTCTTCTAGCCTTTTCCGTATTGCCTGGACTTCCCTCACAAGATTCTCCACAGCTGCAGAAACAGGGCGGAGACTGCAGAGAAAGTAATACAGAAGAGTAACTCTGAGGACTATTCTTGAACGTGCAAAATAAAGTGCCAGGCCTTGTGTTTCTTGAAGAAGGGAGGGCCCTTCATGCTGAAAGAGCTGCAAGCAATTAGTTAAAAGATTCTTCCAAAACTTCAGCACTTCCAAAACCATTGTGCTGGTCTATTAACAGACCAACTTCTTCTCCCTGCACAATGGCCAAGTCCATTAGTCGATCTGTAACACAATTCATTTTTCCAGCCTGTTCTCACAGGATTGAGGTGCTGAGGACAGAGTAAATTTTATTCAGAGTAACTCTTACAGTCATGGCAATTGGGAATATTTCCCAATAAAGTGTGATCAGGTTAGTCAGTTTACTAGGGTGCCCAGAGCTGCCAGTATAACAAATACCAACAGTGGGATTCATCTCTCTACACTTGAACAACTTGAAAATTAAGGAAGATGAATCCTGGTTGAGGCAGGACAGCCAGGGGAAGTCTAAATCTTGCCTCCAGATGAAGGGAATTACCTGGAGATCTCCGGCAGCAAAGACTCTGGGTTGTTCAGCAGGATGTGTTTCATTTGCCAGAAGATGCTGTTTCCCCATTTCTCAAGTGTTTGAGTAATGCTGTTAATGCCTCCTATGTTGACTTTGTCAGCTAGGTTAGCAGCATGGCCATGGAAGGGAGAAAAAAAAGTTTGACAGAACAAGAAAATATGAGCCAATAATCTAAGTTTAATTTCCCTCCCCTTCACCTCAACAGCGAGTTGCAGTGAAATGCCAAATATTAAACATATGAAGGATCTAAATTAAAAAGCAGATAACTCTCCCTCACCACATATTTTTCTGCCTTCTGTTGCCAGAGTTTTCTGCTGTCACTGGATGCCCCAGCTGACTATTTCTAAAATCATTTTTCTCCAAAAATCTCAGCAGCTACCCAGGAATCAAGAAAGAGCACTCATGAATGAGCAGTATGTGTCCCACTCCAAGGGCAATATAGGCAAATCTTCAGCCCTGAGTTAGCAAATACCTCCCATGTTGACCCACCACATCTTACCGCCTTCTCTGTAGTCCCATTTCAGATTGTGGTCCAGAAACTCCTCCCAGGATTTACTGCATGGCAAGAGGATGAAGAAGAGGAAGAGAGGAAGAGTCACCATGATGGTGGTTCGTAGGACCTGGACTTTCCCCTGCTCTGTGGAGACAGAAAATCTTGCTAGCTGCTTTATTTCTCTCTTTCCTCTCTGTCTCTGTCTCCCATCTGTGACCCAAACACCAAATTTCTCTCTGGTAATGTATTTCTTTAAAATATTTTTTCAGGCTGCTCAGCATGGTTTCTAAAGAAGCAGAGGGACTTTTTTTCGAGGGCACAAAGCACCTTACTTTTTTTCAAGCTATAGATTGGTACGGAGATGCTTCCTCAGTGGGCAGCAGCCGGGAAAGTAGCTTCAATTTGTATGTAGCTATGCTAGGATAGCACCTAGCACTTAGCTATAAATGTTATGTGAATGTCAAGGGGTGGCCCTAGGACACAGAAATAGTTACACCCCCGCTTTACAGTTAGAGAACGCAAGGCACAAGCTAGCAAAGCAATTCATCCAGGGTTCAATATGGGCAGGAATAGGAAATTGTTCTCTTTGACCTTATTCACAACCCAGTAGCATAACTGAGACATTGCCTTGTAATGGGGGTCTCAGAGATAAAATACAAGCAAACAAACACCTAAAAAAACAAAGCCTTGTGCTGTCTCTACTTTGCCCTGGTACCTGGGGGGGTCTGTTCCTTATCTATCAAGTTCACCATCATTTCAAAGCACATGGAAGTCAAGTCTAGCCTATAGGCCCTCCTGGACGTGTCTTTCTGCAGCTTCTTGTCATGCTTATTTGTTATTCTGTCTTGAGTATGTAAGCCTTCAACGTTAAATTCCATATTTTTTTTTTTTTTTTTTATGTCACAGACAGCTGTTCCAGTAGAAACTGGCTGGAAATATCAATTACACACATACTGCACACAGCAAACAGAAAATGTGCATTGCCAACTTCATGAGTTTTAGTGATGATTTCAGTCATCTGTAGTCACAGTGATGGAAAGCTTGTGCGAGAAGCAGGCACATTCAGAAAACTCAAATTACTCCCCTGTTTGTATACATGCATCAAAAGTCTAAGATCTTGCTGCAAAATATGAGGACATCAAATTGCTTTTTTACTATCATACAACCCTCATTTTCTAACCATCTGGGAAGAATACAGCCACCTCAAAACCTATTGGGAGCTGTACCAAATAAAGCAGAACATAAATAAATCCCTTTACTTTGCGCTGTTCTTACATTTAATCACTTGTGTATCTTAATTGAAACTGCATTTATTTTTCCATATATTCAAATGCAGTAGTATGAATATAGCCATACTGATGGAAAACGTCTTGCTATTCTAAAAATATTACTTTCCACCTGTCAGGATGTACTTTGCATTCAGTATTCTTCTTCTAATTGCAGTGTTCATTTAAAGGAAAAAAAATAAATTGCCTTCTTCCTATCTCACATATACACACACCTCTTCTTCCTCCCCCAGCTCACCCAGAGTGAGATGCCAGAATGCAGATCTCTGAGAAAGTTTGATGATGTCTCTGAGGCACATGAAGAAGCAGTCTCTATGGATGTTCTTGAAACTATCTGCACTGACACCTCAACCCCTCTGCCTCTCCAGTCTTCCAGATAAATACTCAAGCCTTTGGACTTTTTTTTTTCTTTTTCTTTTGATGACTATGTGCTGCACATCCCTTTTTAATCTTCCCTGATGGGAAGGGACTTACTAGACAACAATATCTCTAATTGCAAACGATTTTAAAATGCTGCCAACATCAAGGAGACAGTGTGGCCTTCCAGCTCATTTTAAGACATCCTGAAGAGTCTGGCCATTCCTTACCCTTTCCACATACCACCTGTTTCAATACCCTAGGGCTAGAATACTTTGATCATTCTGTATTTAATAAAAGCAGGATTGTAATGAGTTCCACGCGTATCTAGTACTGAAAGTCCAGCTGACTTGACCTCGAACTTTTCAAAGCATCAAGCATCCAAATGGATCACAAGACCAACATGCTCTGTTCGCAGAGTCCCTCAGGGACCAGTTTATTTGTAGCTTTGTTACCACATTTCTGAGCGCCTGCTTTAATTTGATATCAGGATAAACATCAGGTTGTAATCATTTTGAAACAGGTTTCCATATCTCAGATACTTACACAGAAATCAAGCTGTCTTCTCTCTCTTAGGTGGAACTGTAGAAGGCAGTTGGATATTTGCTAGGAAGGTTTCTAGCAGAAAAAGTCTGCAGGGTCATCTGTAATAGGAACCAGATGCCAAGCCTAAGTATGTCTTCAAAACTGTCACAGCATTGCACTGGAAAATACTGACAGGGTAGAAAGCAGATTCACAAACACTCGCACATTTTTGGATGAAAGCTCTTTTCAAAATCTAGAGAATAACAATGAGGTAGTAGTCTTGTTACTGCTACTACTAATTACAATAGTATGGCATGTTCTCTGACAGAAAATTACATCATATTCTGTCCTTGGAGCAGGGTAAGCATGGTGATTCACTGTCTTCATGTGAAAGCAATGAGAGACACTCATCTCATTATCACACAATATTCTTTTCTTCTTTTCATCTCTCAATTCCTCACTCCAACATGATAGAAAAGCTCCACAAGCCAAATACCCTGAGCACAGCCAGGATAGCTGTTGTGCTATCCAAGCCTGAATCCCTGTCTCAGAGCAAAGGAGAACTGCCAGAATCTGAGCACCCATCCCTGTGCCCCAGTGTCACTCACCCCTTCTGTCTCTGGCTGCTATACTCCATTTCCAGTAAGCACACAGCAGGGAACAATGACAGAGCACTGAGATTTCATTGGTAGCCACCCCAGATTTCAGCACACAGGGGAAAGCAGGCAATGGCTTGAGTTCCCTACTGCCCATGGGCTGTGCTGGCTGCCAGGATGTTGGGGAATCATCCAGGTTATGCTCTCCTGGTACCAAACACAGCTTCCTTTTGGAGTGCGTTCTATCCCTGCCTCAGACATGTGAGATGTTGCAGAGTGGTTCAGAGCTCACCTGCCATTGTGCAGCAAGGAGGATTGAAACCTTTGCCTTGCACTTCTAGATGCTCTGAACATACTCTCTCCTGATGCCATATGTGAGCATCCATTGTGTTAGATAAGCACATGCTTGCTTTGAGGTGAGGGCTTTGTTGGTTAGAGCTAGCAGTCACTGTGGTGATACATAAAATGAAGGAATTTTTGCTGTAATATTGGGCTGCCAGTGAATTAGCTTTGTGGTTTGCATTTGAGACCTGTTCTACTCTCATAATTTTCCCAAGTTCCTTTCAAGCTATTTTCAAACTAAAGCTGAAGAGTGATACTGGATTTGGGGGTATTTGCAGAGAAATAAAATATACTTCTAAATGAATCAGGGAGTTTGTTCTCAGGTAAGTCATAAATGCATAAAATATAACTTCTATCCCCAATAATAGTAATGGACATTTAAACAACAAAGTAAGTATAAGACTCTCAATTTTGTAAAGAATCTCAAGATACAATAAGGATGTTTTGGAGTCTACTAGAATTTTTCTGTCTTTATTTCCATATAAAATACTTTAAGGGTATTTTAAGGTTATGTTACTTACACACGCAGCACTGAAATTTTCTGTTTTATGTATAAAATCAAGGAAGTTTTAGGTGCTATAAACGAAACAGTTACGCATAAAAAAACATTTAGTAGCTGCACACAGTATCTCAGTTAATGCCAGTTCTGCTGGAGCTCCCAGGCTAGGATTCTGAAAAGACTTTGAGCTTTGTAGAGGAGAGAGCTGCCAAGTCTGTAAGCTCAGAACAAAGAAGGCGCAAGCCCTCCCTATGAAGCAGGTGGCATTTGTTAGCTCTCCAAGCAAAAGAATGGGGTAATATCAACATTAGCATATGGCTGCGGTGTTATGTAATGGTGGAAACAGCAAGGAAAATGCCAAAAGCAATTTAGAAATCGGAGCCAACAATGTTAACCCAGCTGCTCTGATACATCTGGAATATCACCTGTTACAAAAGCCCTTATGAAGAATCCCTCAGTTTAGATGCATGTGAGTTAAATGCTGTACATTGGTACACATTCAGATGCCTCTTTGGGTTACTCAGCCATAACAATACCTTTATGTTTTCAAGTTTGACAATAAATTTGACTTAACACCAGAGTAACAGTCGTGCTTTTGCATATAATTAAGAGTTACACTGCTCATTTTCTACCTGGATGTTCCATGAGATCAGAGCACCCAAATCCAGGTCCAGAACACATATCCACTGTAAATCATGATATCGGTCAAGTACATTTTGAGGAGATAATATGCATTTTCTTCCTCTTCTCCAAGTGTACCTGCCTTTTCAGGATGTGTCTCATCTCCATCTTCCACGTAGAGCTCCCTCCTAAGAAATTCCCTCTCTCTCCCTGGATAGGCAAATACAGTTCTGGCACCCTTCATGTCTGTCTGTCTGTCTGTCTGTCTGCCTCAAAGGATCTGCTCACTCTTTCTCCCACCTCTGTTCTCTGGAAATGTAGGTAGCAATCTTCCAACCTCCAAGTCTACACCACTGTGCACACATTCTCTCCTCTCCTGAGTTCGTCAACCCAACAAGCTCTTTCCTATGCACATAGAGTCATCTCCTCCTCAGGAAGAAAGCAAGCACTCCTGGAAAAGAAGGCAGAGAAGGGCATACAGGCATTACCTGCAGTCTTGAGGACAGTCCTTCTGGGAGGAGACTTCCAAATCTCTGCCTGCCTGCCTGCCTGCTCCTCTTCTCCTTACCACCCCCTCTGCATTTCAGCTTCCACTGAATGACGTGTCCCTCGTCATTTCCCTGCTCTTTGCGTTCCCACAGCTTTTTTTGTGGAGCCTGCTCCAGCTGCACCTCTCCTGCCCCTCCCTCCCACTCCTGCAGGCTGGCCGTCCCCCCACGCATGGTAGCCTCGAGGGAAGGGAAGGAGCGTGGAGCCTCTTTGAAAGCAGCCCTGCCCATGAGGATACCCCTATCTCTCTTTGCTGCTGGTTCTTATAGGCAGTGCTCAGCCCCTCCAGCACAGCTATCCGCCTTCTCCTAATCACACTTTCCACTATGCGCTGTTCTTCTCTGGCTGCTTGAACCCTCCAGCCATCCAGCCACGAATTAGTTCACCATGTTGTTCCTGCCTCTTAGCAAGCATGCCAATTAATTCCCTGCTGATTAGTTCACTCCCAATGTGCTCTGCCAAATCTATTTCTGGTGGAATAAACAAGGAGGGATGAATCGACAGCAGGGTTATTCTTTTTTTCCCTGTTCCTCCTCCTCCAGGTCTGTGTCTGCCAAGGCTAACAGGCTCAGGTCTGGTCAGCGCTAGACAAAGTGATTCCCAAAGAAATGCAAGGTATTAAAAGGATGATTTTTGTGAAGCAGGAGGTGAGGCCTCGGATCTGATCTCATCTGTGTCACACTGACATTTTTTCAATGATATGAGGATGTGCAGCCGCTGCGGCCCTGAGCAACACAGTTCCTGCACATCTAGGCTCATGACTAGACCTACGGCACTGCTTGCAAGTGCAGTGGCCAAATCTGCATTCTTCCTTATGTTACTTATCCAGTATCAGCTGGCAACAACACCCTTTCTGCTTCCTGACCAGGCTATTCTGATTTAAAACTCTTCTGTCTGTGGCCAAAATGTCTGTGCTAAGTAGTGGGAAAAAAAAAAGGTCCTTTTCCACAGGGTGAAGGATTGTCCAGCCACTCAGAATAAAAACCCAAGTCCAGCAATAACAGAGCAAGAGGCTGCGTGCAAGTTACAGTAAGATCCAGATCCCCAGCTGTAATGGCCTCCGCATTGAGGTTGCAGCAGGGCAGTGCTGGTTCACTCAAGGTGAGGAGGTGATGGGCAGGGAAACTGAGTGGGCTCCTCCTGAGCATATCTATAAACATCAGACAGTGCTTTGCCAGCCCAACTCATGGAAGAGGTCCACCACCAGGGCTACCTGTTTCTCTGACACTGAGCACTAACAATTCAGGCTACTCTTGCCTGCTTCAGTCCCACTGGCTTCATGGCAGGGAAATTTCTGAGAAGACTGCCCTATTACAGAGCCATGCTACTGAAGCTACCGAAGAAATATGACACTCGGTTGCAGAGTTATGAAACACCAGTTTTCAAAAGCAGCACACAGGCTTAACACAAACCAGCCTCCGGAAGAACTGGAAGGTTGTTTTGTCAGACTTCAAGCAAGCAAACAAAATGTCCAGGCAACAAGCAAATAACCCAATCATCTGTCTCCAGCTGTTCCCTGTTTAACACTGGGTAGATGCAGTCTCATTATGCGGGGACACTAGGACACAGATGAGTCTTGAATGAACCTGCTGGGATATCCAGATGAACACAGCAGGGCACTCTGGGGCACCCCAAGTCCAGACTGTGCTGCTGAAGGGTTGTGCTCAACATCCCAGACTTGTGCTGGCAGCAGACTGTCTCTGTGCAGTTCTTGGGATTACTGGGGGTAAAGAACATAAGGGGGCTGCAGTACTTTCCTTCTCTGCCTCCTGCTTGCTACCGTCCACATTGCCAGTAGTGTGAATGAGGAGCACTGGCCAGCTCCCCATTCAGACAGGGAGGGATACCAGCATCCATTTTCCACCACTGTACTGAGCTAGGCAGAGATCAGGAATTTCATCAGTACAGTGAAACAACAAGAAACTCACTGTTTCACTTTCCCATTCCTTTATTTTATCCTTTTCCTTCCCTTTCCAGCTTTGACTGCCTGAGCTCATCAAAAACTCTGCACTGCTAAAACTTCCCTGAAATGCTCTTGCTATAGGTAGCAGAAAACATAGAGTGCTTTGTACCTGCTAGGAATGATATCAGTTTTGCTGTTTTGACTTACTCTTATTGTTTCTTCCTGTTAGCTCTTAGTGCTTGATTGCATTTTAATTTGTTGTTTGGACAGATATTTCCTATGTGTTGCAGTACCTGCTCACATGTGAGTTCTCTGTTTTGGAGAGACTCAGCCAGACACTGGAGTACCAAGGATAGTGTTCCTGGGTCTGCCCACATAGCCATAGTCAACAATACAAAGGAGAAGGGCAGGACAAGAAGAGCGGGCAAGCGTATTAACTTAGCACACACAGAAGTGCAAAGATACAGGTTGGCACATGGGGCTGCCGACAACCCCACATTTCGTCACGTAAGACTCTGCATGCATGTTCTGTGGGATCACCAGACCAGAGGTGAGATCAGCACAGACTCGTTGAACATCATTTTCCCTGTTATGAAGTTCACCAACCACTTATGGTTCTTCTGCTGTGAGCTCCAGCAGCCTCCACACTCATTCTGCGGGAAAGAGAGGGGCCCAGCAGAGCAGCAGGAAGGCTGACTTTGCTGCAAGCTGCCAGTGACTTTACCACTTTTCAGTGTGCACGATCAAAAGGTCAGCCACCAGCTGCAAAGAGGGAAAAAAACGGTTACCTTTGAGGGCCCATGCTAAAGGCAGCTCATCTTGGAAGCAGAAGGCAGGATCAGCAGGGATGTACAGGCCAGCATCTGGCAGCCTGCACATAAGGCAGCTTGACAGAGAGAAACAGTAATTATCGCCAAGGCCAGCTAATGAACCAGAACTGTGCAAACACAGAACCACTGTGAACCTAGTGTGATCATGTAACTGTGCCAGATTCCATGTCTTGAACCAGAATAACCTGGCCTGGCAGTTTGTGATGCTGTGGCTTCAAATACCGTCTTCCTGCAGCCAGGTGCAGACACAACAGCAGAGCCTCAAAAGCTCACTGGGAGGTGTATACCTCTCAAGTCTTACAGCAAAACTGCATGCACAATCATTTCATCATGCAGCTCTCCCAGAGTGACCTGCTTTAGTTGGAGTATTTTCAACAGCAGTTTTAGTGGGGCCCTTTCAGAATCAGGGAGCTCTATACAGCCACTCATACCAAATACTATATATTTGAGAGGAGAACCTAAATGTAAATAGATCCAGACATTTAGGCTGTCCCATCCTACATGCAGAATTCAGCATTTCTAGCATTTTAGAATAAGAGGTAGTGGCATCAAGTTGAACCAGGGGAGGTTCAGGTTGGTTGTTAGGAACAATTTCTTCTCAGAAAGACTGGTGGTGCTTCATTGGAACAGGCTGCCCAGGGAGGTGGTGGAGTCACCATCTCTGGAGGTGTGTGGATGTGGCACTGAGGGACACAGGTAGTGGGCATGGTGGGGATCAGTTGGTTTTGGTGATCTTGGAGGTTTTTTCCAACCTTAATGTTCTGCGATTCTATGTTTATGTGCAGGCAAGCTGGAGAAGGCTGAAATTTCTGGCAAAAGGTTGGCAAGAAAGAAGGCAGTGCTGCAAATCAACTCAAACCTCTTCCACCATTTATTTGTCCCACCCTTCACTAAGTGAGCTGCAGCTGTACAAGGGAAATCACTGTACAAAAAGGTCAGTATTCCTCACTTGTGTGATGCTCACTGTAGGCTGGTCCAGTGGCTGAAGCTGAAGTTAGGACTTGCACAAGCACAACACAGATGAGGGGCTTGAGACTATGTGTTTCTATGCTTTTTGGCTCGTAACGCTTTTCTAAACAACCACATTGCAACCCAGGGCTCTCAGACTTACAAGCTTAAACCGCAGTATTTCATTTTTTCAGCATCTTACATCTTCAAATTGATTCAAAAAAAAAGTAAATAACAATTCATGTAAAAGCAACATTCATATAAATGAATGATTTATTTGTAACTTCAGTTTTATTTTCACAGCTATTTGATTGATATTAGTACACTTGACAGGCCCAATCTAAATGCAAATCAGCTTCCATTTGCAATGTAAATTAGCAAAACTTCATTTTTCATGCTTTGCATATTATTAAACTCTCTGAACACTTTGCTCAGCCACACATTACCTCAAAAGCATCCGTTTTCACCATAGATCACTTGCCTTTGCCCTTTAGCCTCATGGAGGTCTCAGGAATTGGAGAAGAGCCATTTTTGTGGGGATGTATGCATTTAAAAGTGGGTTATGCTGTGCCATGAACACATGAGCACTATAAACCACAGTCTCTTCTAGTGTATGTGTGTGTGCCTGGTGTTAGAAGACCACAAATGAGGACATCAGATTTTCCAGTTCACAGTTCTGGCTGTTTTCTGCTGCGTCCTTGCTTCCAGGTCTAATTAATGCCAGAAGCTTTTTCTTAGAAAGAACCCTGCAGGATAGCTCTTGTCCCTCTGTATCACAAGATTTGCTAAGTGAGACTTGAAAAGCATCCAGAATCTCTCTTGTAAATATTGACATAGTTACGGGATCACCACTGCTCCTAAATCAAAAAGTGGAGGAGGAGAAATGGCAATACGGAACAGGACTTTGTACTCAGAATGACCTAGAAAGAAAGGAAAAAGAATAACTCTGATGGCTCCTTCATGTGCAGCTTCTGAGGAAAGTCCTGATCTGAGGCTTGATGACATCAATGGAAACAGTCCCAGTGGTACTAAAAGATTTTGGATTGGGAGCTGTTTCTCTCTTTCCAGTTCCTATCTGAAAAAAAACAACCAATTCCCTTCAACAGTTGGGCCACTTGGTGTCTCTCTTCTGCTCCCTACTTGCTATGAACGTGTAAAGAGTCACAGAGGGAAAGGGCAAGCATGTCATTTGAGGGAATGGAAAGAGAACAGCAGCAGCAGATGCGGTCCTAGCTGGTCAGACTCTCGTCTCTGGTGTCGGACGTGCATGGGGCTGGGAATCAGGAAGCTGGGGCTCTACGGCTTTGGGGAAACCACAAAACTCTCCTTGCTCAACTTCCCCATTGCGGGAAAGGGAGATTGTGGTG